AAAAAAAAAAAAAAAAAAAAAAATTAAGGAACACTTATATCTTGGTTTTTATATACGTGTGCCTGTTATGTACATGTGCATACCAGATGAATTGTTTAAAAATTACTTGTATGCACATATGAATATCCTCCAAATGAATGGTTACCATAGTGTTCCTTATTTTTTCATTTTTCGGGAGTTTTCCCTAAACCTCCCCCCCCCCCTCTCTCTCTCTCTCTCTCTATCTATATATATATATATATATAATGGCACATGTATATATATCAATGTATGTGTACATGTAGGACATGTAGAAAAGTTAGATTTGTTTCAAAATCTTCTCACCTTATCTTACATATATATATATATATATATATATCTAACAATTATAACCTTCTGTNTATATATATATATCTAACAATTATAACCTTCTGTTTTAGTCATCATGAGTGTATCTACATGAATCTAGAGAGATAAAAGTAGAGATAGAGACATATATGTATATGTATATACTAAGAGAGAGAGATGAGGGCAAAGAAGGTGATGATTGCCTTACAGAATAAACATATATCAGACGTTAGCAAAAAAGAGTACACAAATAAGACACAGACCAACACAAAAAAAATTCTAAAACCATCAACTCTACTGTTATAACCCAAGATTTGTCTACCAATCAATTTTTTTCACACATTAATTGTGTTTAATTCATGCGATCATCGCGCAAGGTTGTACGTTCGATTCCTCTAGTTGCCCTTAATTCAATATATATCACGTTTATTGATCGAAACTCCAAAAGAACTATAATTGATACTGTATTTATAAGAATATAGCAGTACTGTGCATCAAGTTTAGATTCTAAATACTATGATTACAAACAGAAAAGGCAACCCTACTAACTGATCTCCTAAATCATCTTGCTTTTGCTGGTATTTAACAGAATTAGATTTCTTGAAGTTTTCAAGAAAAGAATTAATAAAAAGAGAGACAAATTGAGGTTATAATAATATATTGAGAAGACTTTGGGCACTTTTTGGATAAACTCCTTTTAATTGTTCCTCTATTATAAAACACCCAAATCCCTAAAAGGAGGGTTTGATTTGAATCAGTCCAAAAAGAGAGGACATTAGTTAACAAAGCATGTATATATATATATATATATATATATATATATATATATATATGAATCAAAAGAAACTGCTGAATGCTAGGGTAAAAAGCTAAAAGCTAAAGTGGCACCCCTCTATATTAGATTGGGGATGAGAGGACCCCTTTCAAACCTGTAATGTCTTTAATTCTTAACCCCACAAATACCAACTTCATTTCTTTTGATTCAACTGTAAATCATTGTAATTTCTTGACAGAAACTCATGATTTGGATATGTTAAGTTTAGTTACAATGTACTTACTGTTTTCACTTTTAGTTATATATGAAAAAACTATATCTACATATATATATATATATATATGTTTGCTAATGTGACCGACCCACATAACAAAAGCTAACAAGATTGTATAAACAAATACCCTTTTCGTTTCCTGAATTCGTGAACTATGAATACCCGTTTCTTGAACGACAAATGGGAAAAAGAACAGGCCTTGTAAAGCGTTATCGTCACATATAAATGTATGTGTGTATATATATATATATATACATTTTGAAGCAGGTTAAAACGAGAAGATAAACAATTAACGAGAAAACAAGAAGTTTCAATATCATATATGATAAACAAGTTTAATCGATTAAACACATAGACGCTTATTACATATAACTAAAAACAATCATATATGTTATTGAAACTTTTAACATTCTCGTAAAATGTTTAACTTCTTGCATATCCTTCTCCTCTCTCTCTCTCTCTCTCTATATATATATATATATATATATCTATATCTATATCTATAACTATATCATTTTCAAGTTAAGCATTGGCACAGAAGAAGATCAGACTGGTATGTAAGTAGTCTTACAGGAGGCATGTGAAGATATATATGAATCATAATCATTATAATTTTTACCCCAAGAAACATTGATTGATAGGTTATAATAAGGAATCTGAATTGCTTTCCTGTTGACAATAATTTTCATTTAGATTTTCTTTCATCTTCCTCTTTATTCAATTATTCTCATCTCCCCATTCAACAGTAAAAGTTGATCTCATACTCATACATGCATATATATCCTCCATTCCCCACCACACCACAATTTCATTTTGGAAGCTGTCTTCTTTGCCTCAGCTTTTCCTTTTATTCCAAACCAAAACCTAAAGCCAAACAGTGACCAAAAGTCATATCTTTTTCCCTAATCCAAACTCCACACATTATATCTCCACTTTACACCATAATACCTACACTATATCTAAGCCTTTTACTCCCATGGAAGTTTCAACTTAGTTGTCGTTGCATCGACGACAAACATCGAATCGTATGCATGGTTCTAAACTAATTAAGAAAGTGAAAAAGGTTGATCAGAATAAACGATTCCTATGTGAATCACTTGCATTCATATATGCATCTTCACATGTGAATAATTGGTGAAGATATGCAAACATTAGTTCACATATGCATTTTCAAATGGATTAACTACATGATTCACATCCACATGAATCATTTATTCTTAAGAACCTCTCCATATATAAGTGTGTGTGTATATATATACACATACAAGGTTTATATGATTGTACGTCTTAGGGGCTTTTGGTAGGTTTTTCTAAATGTGTCTGTCCTGTCTATATATATAGATCAAGAATGTTTTTGTTTTGGAGGGTTTTCTCAAAGATGAAATAAACATCTTTTTTAATCGAGAGGAACAAGTTCAGAAAAAAAAAAAACTACCAAACTGTCATACATACATGACCTAATAAACTGTAATTTCTATTAAACTTATTAAGCTGCTAACAGATGCTGTTATTTACTTTGGTGCATATTCACCCATCCATGTGTATTTAGGGATATTCAAGTTTATGAATGGGAATCCAATGTGTGGTTTTCTTTTATTTTTTTTCTTGAGGGTATATTTTTCCTTTTTTGGATAAGGTTGGTTTTATGCTTGAGTGATTCAACTTTAGGTTAAAATAAAAGCATACTTCTCCACACTTGATAGATACCCTCTCTACATATGCATCATCCCTTTCTTTTAATTATTATGCATCGGTTTAATTCAATTTGTTTTTACTCGTTAATATTTTTATGATATATTTTTGCAAAATTTTGACTGAAATAAGTTGTGTGTAGCGTGTCGTGTGTATGCCACCCCACGACACAAGGAGCGTGCTTGAACCGTTAAATACGAATCAATTCACAATATATTTTAGCATTATGAAATAATTATGTTATCTAAGGTGACGGTAATATCAAAATTCAATGTAAAAGTCAGTTCAAAACCGTGGCACCTACAGAAACAGATAAACTTGCCTATATTAGAATCATATAATACTAAAAGAATGACGGGTTCACCTTATACGTACGTCTTTCCCACAAACTATAGCGTGAAAACTAATCAATACACCTTATGTATTTTTCTTTCTATAGAGACACTTGGTTTTCTTGTAATGATGGTTCACGACACGTCTGACATTCTTAGTCATAATAATTTGTCATTTCAAATAAAGACAGCAATGCCAAATGTCTCATGGTCTACCAAAAGATTTAATTCGTCAGAAGAATCATAACGAGTCCAGTAATAAACAAGACTGTTGTCCAACCTCAATATCAAAAAACATACCCATATTTACTTTAAGCTTCATCAGATAAATTTGCCAAATATGTGCATAGATGTTGGCCACTATGTAACATAATACAAATCTTCCCAATTTCTATTTTGGGTATCTATATACTTATCTTTTTTCCTGAAACTGAAAAATTGATAAGATATAAGTTAGCATAACAGTATTAGTTTTTTGATGTCTGTAAACATAATGATTGCAAAATTTGTGTGTAAAGAGTGACAAGAAAGGTCCACACATGAGTTATTAGATTCATTATTGCAACACTTTTTACAATAAACATGATTTTGTTTTCACATTTATAGTTTTTTCACAGTATTGCTTAAAGAAATCAGATTAAAAGTTTTACCTGTTGCAGTAGGTGCATACATATTCTGAACCATCCATTTTGTTTGATGTTAAGACCGAAGAAATTCTAATGCTTTCAAATTTTTATATCATCTGCAGTACGTTCTATTTTTTTCTTTCAGTTTTGAAGAACCAAGAGGATTTACTCATAGTTAAGAAAATTAGGATGAAAATCACTGTCTTTGATTATCGTTTCATAGTCAAACTAATCAATTGGCATTTGGGTCATGAAATGAATACGAAGTTGATGATATCACACAGTTATCCCATCACAAATCAACCAACCAACATATTCTAGTTAATTTAAAGGCACGTTTGTTAACATTTTAATTGGCTTAATAAGACTCACAACTTATTCAGTCAGCTATATATGAATATTTGATAGTGACTTAATATATAAAAAATGACTTATTCAGTAAACTTCTAAGAGGAACTTTATGCAGAAAACTAAGTTTTTTCTAAATTTGTCCGAACCAATTAAAAGATACGCTCATTCTATGAAAAAAACTTTTCCAAACAAAAATTAACCAAACGACCCTTAAATCAACTTACAACATAACTATTTGGATAAGATCCGTCAAGTACGGGTGATTTTGGAGAAAGACCACCGCATACATATGTTATTTTCGTCTTTTTATACTTGTAACCGGTACATAATTATTTATTTCAATATTTTTTATTATTATATATTTTCACAAGAATAATGGTTTGATCGAAAAACAAATACAAATTAAGATTTAGTCTCAAATATTAGTACTATGAGCTTAACGAGTCTTATTGGGCTTTAAAAATTTGAGTAAATGGGCCTTTCGATATTTGGATTTAAGACCCAAAGTGGCAAACAGGCCTGTGTTGGGCTATTGAAAATCGAATAAATGGGCCTTCCAAATATTCAGCCCAATATACGTTTTCTATCGAAAAATACAATTTATTTTTTTATTTTCATCTATTTTAGGTAACAAATTTTAATTACGCTAGATTATTTCTGGTAAATAAGACAGAACTGGACATGACATTACAATAAAAAAGAATTCATTGTCATTGGTCCTAGTCACGATGGGCGTATTTGCCCAATTGACACATCTGAAGGAATAGTAGAGCAGTTTGGTAGCTTACAAGGCTCATAATCGTCACAGGTCTTGTGGTAGCGCGAGCGAAATGAGAGCAGCCTAAGCCGTGGGACACCACATGACAAAATTAGGTGAGACAAAATTGCATTCTTTTTGTCCTTCCAAAAGTGGTATACAACAAAAACCAGGGAGATGAAACAAAATTGGTAAATTATTAAACTATTAATATTAAACCTTAAACTTGTACGTTGCTATTTTGCACAAAATGAACGAACGTACATTGCCTATATATATATATATATATATATATATATATATATATATATATATATA